CACAACATCTGTAAGTCTCACTGAAGCCCTAAACACACAGGTTCTGGTGTGTTATCTTGTCAGGGATAGCTGCTTTAAAAGTTAGTGTATTATCTTGTTTTCTGCAAATGTTGGGTGTGAGTGCATGGAAACCCTGTGTTCTCTGTGGTTCCTTCTTCAGTGCCTGCCTCCAGGTTCTTGATGTGAACTCTTGCCCTAACTTCCAGTAGAGATGGACTGTTACCTTGAATTCTAAGATGAAACAAACCCTTTCCTCCCCAAGATGGTTTTCGGTGAGCTGTGTTTCATCCCAGCAACAGACACTAAACTAGCTCATGGACTTAGTAATTTCTTCCTACGATGTCGATCATTGAGAAAACATTGCTTTTATGTTTGGGGGAGGATGTCACTAATTTGTTGGGATTATACTGGTTTAATTCCATAGGCCTTACCGTCTGTGCCATTCTGTGGGCTCAGAGAGACGACACTGGGTGATTGCAGTACATCTTGTGGGTTAGGAAAGAGACTAGGAAATGGGTTTCAGTCCTGGACTCAAACACCTTGAAAGGGATCAAATTACCTCAGAACTTTCTAGGAACCAACTGCAGGGTTCACTAGAGGTTCACAAGGACCCTCAGTGGTGGCTGGTACAGTGTGGCTTCAAGAAGGAAGAGGTGGGGGCTGGAGAGATGGCTCAGCGGTTAAGAGCATTGCCTGCTCTTCCAAAGGTCCTGAGTTCAATTCCCAGCAACCACATGGTGGCTCACAACCATCTGTAATGGGGTCTGGTGCCCTCTTCTGGCCTGCAGGCATACACACAGACAGAATATTGTATACATAATAAATAAATAAGTATTTAGAAAAAAGAAGGAAGGGGTGGACTGTCCTTGAAGGGTGGGACCCTTCCTGGCCACCCATGGTTTCAAAGATGAAATGGTTAATCTAATGTGTTAAAGGAATAGCAAAAAAGACACCCTCAGTAGAAACTTACATCCTTGTCACTTGTAGCTTCAATAAATTTGGTAGCTCTGGCATTTTTTTCCCACCCTACACCCAATCTTCAGGCAAGATTGACTTATCTAATTGGTCAATTCAAAAACAATAAGTTGGGCATCTTCACTTAGCCAAGCTGCTTAAACACACCCCTGTAGAGGCGTAATCCCTAGGTCCCTGAGTGAGCAGGAAGTCTGCCTGTTTCTATGGTTCATACTGGAAACCCATGTGGGACCACCTGATATCTATGACAAATGGCCGTTTGTAGCAGTCGAGAAGGTGATATTTGAACAAGTGCTTGTTTTTCTTAGTTCTCAATTGACTTGGAGTCTACATAGAAAATACTATTACTATTCATTCAGCACATTGATGGGAAAAACAGTGTTTTCCCTGTTGAAGTAACGAAATTTGGAGAGCAGCTGGAGCAGCTGGAGCAGCTGGAGAAGCTGGAGAAGCTAGAGCAGCTGGTAGACATTTTTTTCACTCTCTATATCTGATAGTAAAGGAGTCCTGCCTGAAAACAAACCAAAGCAAAGAAGGCTCTATCAAACATCTGTATTCAGATGTGTCTGACTTCTGTGAGCTTTTCAGTGACAGGAGCCGACATCCCCTCTTTTCAAAAAGAGATTTAATTTTTCATCGTGTGTGTGTGTGTGTGTGTGTGTGTGTGTGTGTGTGTGTGTGTGTAGGTTTGCTTATGTGTGTGAGTACAGGTGACCTCCAAATCCAGAATGTGTCAGAATCCTTGGGCCTGGAGATTTGGGTAGTTGTGAGCTGCCTGACAAGAGCACTGAGAACTGAACTTGGGTCCTCAGCAAATGCTCTCTAACCACCGGGCCGGTTCCCCAGCCCCATTCCACTCTCTCTTTCACTCGTGTGCCCTAGAGTTAGACTTAGAGTTTTGCCATCTGAAAGAGATCTGACCAACGCCGTTCGGGGATGAGCTGTTTTTCTTGAATCTCAGTCTTGGAAGCAACTACTTTTAGATTTTGCATCCTATTTGCATAAGAAATAGAAGGAACGTTGCAAGACATCAATGTGAGGTTATAAAATAAGTTGGGAGGCAGAGGTGGTGCATGCTTTTCATTCCAGCAATCAGAGGCAGAGGCAGATGGATCTCAGAGCTGGAGGCCAACCTGATTTACAGAGTGAGTTCCAGGACAGCCAGGGCTATACAGAGAAACCCTATCTTGAAAAAAAAAAATGAAGCTAGTAACTTTGGCTTTGAAAAACTGATAGCTCTTTCTGGCTCTTCTGTCTTCAGAGATGCTCCTGCTACAAACTTGAGGGACAAGGAGCTGCTGTGGCTCGAGGGTAGAATGTTACTTTCCCAAATAATGGAAGTGTGATTTGGTAACTAACTATATTATATCCTCTCCCCAGCTTTTGATACTATTTTGTTTTACACAGACTGAGTAATTAACAGATTTATATCTACAACTTGTTATGCCCAGATCACAGGGTCCCCCAAAAACCAACAAAGAGACCAAGTTCTGTATGTAAAAGCAAAGAATCTTTATTCTTATTTAAGTTCAAACTCAAGATTCCTCATGTGTCCAATGCATTGGCATGATGTTGGGGTGGGGTTTTTATAGTAGAGGTTAGAGTGGGGATTTCTAAGGCTCAGGACCCATGTTTGGCTGACATTTGTCTAAGGGTGTCTTGATGAGGGGGGTGGGTTTGCTAGGCTAAGGGACATCAGGTGATCCTATTTACAATAGCTAGAATGTTAGGAATGTCTTTTGAAACATTAGGTACTCTTCCTTGGGATGGTCCTGGGTGGTCTCAGTTTGTGGTCTTTCCTGGAACCAGGTGGAAACTCCAGCCTCAATTAACCTTGTCATGGCTGGGTTCCACACAGTTCTAGAGTCTGGGGATCCTAAGATCAAGTGTGAGCAGTCATGGGTGTTCTGTCTGTACCAGCCCATGGCAGAAAGGCCAACAACAGTGAAACAGCAAATGCTGAAGTTGTTTTGTATCTAACTGACTCCCTTAACAATCAGCCCACTCCTGTAATAACACATTAATACACCTATTAGGGGTAAAGGTCATCAAAACCTGGACACCTCCCACTGGGCCCTGCTTGTCGATGGTGTTAGAATTAAATTTCCAACGCCTAAACTTTGGTGGACACCTTTGAACAAGACCAGTAACAAACTGGTTTTCTTCATGCTTGAACAACTATCTGACTTAAAGGTTTTAACATAATATCTATCTGTGGGTGGGATGGGGATGGATTTGTGCCATGGTGCCCATGGAGGAGTCAGAGGACAGTCTGCTGGAGTTGGTTCCTTCCTTCTACCACATCAGTTTGGTTATAATCTGCTGGCCTTGTCTGTCACCTGAGTATCCTGTCCCTTTAAGAGACAAGCCCCGCCCACTCCCAACCCCCTCTCCTGCCTCCTCTCCAGCCTGCTCTCTCTTTCCTACCCTCTTCTGAAGAGTTAACTACTGCCTCTCCTGCCATCTGTCTTTCTTCTCTCGCTATTTTCCCTTCCCCCTTTTCCCCTTCTCCTTCCCCTCCATCACCCACTAAACTCTATACTTCAGCTCTCTCTGCATGGCGTATCTGTCTGTCTCTCACCTACTGCTGTCTCCTACCCTCCAAGGGAACCCTCCGAGGCCCTGAGTGACCTGCTATTGTCCCGCTGAGGCCTTGAGTGACCTGCTGCCGCCCCTCCCGACACCGGCCTCCAGTCCGCCCCTCCTCCGCCCGCCCGCCATGTTTATAGATGACAATAAGTTCCAGGGATTGAGCTTGGGTTTACAAGAGGCTTACCAGCTGGGCCATCTCACTGGCCCCTCGACTTAAAACTCTTTCATGACGAGAATTCTAGTAGTTCAGAGTTGCAGTTTTAGAAAGAACAGCTCTCTTTTGGAGAAAGTCGATAGGAAATGAAAAAAAGAATTATTTTGAAACAGTTAAGTCTGGATCCTTGAAGGAGGTGTTAGAAGAAACATTGTATTCATTGTATTAGAACTTAGAGACTCATTGGCAGGCATTTTTATGACCCTGTGCATGATCCCCAGTAGGGGAAGAAAATGGAGCAGGAAAAGAAGCAGAAGGAGGAAGAGGAAGAATAGGAATTGTTTGCAGCGTTAGGAGCTGTACACTGGGGGGGGGGTCAAGGTCATCACAAGGAAACCCACAGAAACAACAAACTTGGACTCACAGAAGCTCACAGACTCTGTATGGACAGGTAGAGAGTCTGCAAGCAGCCAGCCTAGGCCCTTTACGTATCTGTGACAGTTGTGTAGCTTGGTTTATTTGTGGGACTCCGAGTAGTGGGATCAGGGCCTGTCCCTAATGCTTGAGCTGGCTTTTGGGAACCTATTCCTCGTACTGGGTTGCCTTGCCCAGCCTCAGTACAAAGGGAAGAGCCTAGTCTGACCTCAACTCAATATGCCTTGCTCTGTTGACAACATGACAGGCCTGCCTCTTTCTGAACAGAAACAGAGGAGGAGTGGATGGGAGTTGGGGCAGAGGGGAGACTGGGGGTGGGGGAAAACAAAGGAGAGGAGGGAGAAACTGCTGTCAGGATGTAAAATAAATGAAAAATGTAATTAATAAAAAGGAGAAAACAATTTGTATCTGTCTCGTTAGCACTGTGCAAACTCCAAACATACCTGTCATTGTTGAATAATTTCCCGAAGATCCCTCTCATCTAGAGTCAGTTGTAACACTGAAACAGTCCTATGGGGCAAAAGAGTCATGTAGACAGGCGCGGGGGGGGGGGGGGGTGGAGGAGTGGGAACTCTAGCACAATTTTTCACCGAGATCAGAGCCCCATCCCCGAAAGAGAATGCCCACTGTGGTATGATATGGCCCTCACAAGGGAAGAAGACAAAAGAGAACGACAGGAAACCTAAGCACAGATGACTCACTTATCTGTGAGGTTCACTGGGATGTCTAGACTAAGTCCATAGGTAATCATGTGTGGGAACAGCCACAATTTAAAAAATATCATAGAAACAAGCAGCTCATATCTGCGTTTAGGATAAGAAACCGAGAGTAAAATAGATATAACTCCAAGAGTCCACATTTCTTTATTCGCTTTTGCTGATTTCCTTGATTTGTTCTTTAAAGTCCAGCGGGTTCTTTAGGTTATTCATCCCACTGCCGAGACAGCTCTGAGAGTCCCTGTCTAACTAAATGATGTCCCCTCACTGATGTTAGACACAGCACTTCACCGTCTTCTTCCCGGCATGGATGTGCAGACTGAGTCCTTCACGGGGACATGGCCATCTCAGTCTCGAAGCAGCTGAAATGGAAAGTTAATCCCCTAAAAGCTGAGAAGAAATTCATCTTTACTCCTTACCAAAATCATGGGAGGCAAGACACACCCAGCTAAAATAAAAAAGGAGCCAAATAAAATGACATCATTTACGCCAGGGAAAGTAGAGTTAATTTTGTCCTTGACCCATGCCTATCAAATGTTGGCTTTATATAAAGCTTTAGGTTTTCACTTTAAGATTTAGGTGCCTTCCTGAGTTAGTTTCTCTTCTTATGCTTAGAGAAAACCGTCTGGCCAAAAGCAACTTGAGGGAGAGAGAGTGCCAGCTTATAGTCCATCTCTAAGGGAAGCCAGAGACGCCCATACAGGAACCTGGAGGCAGGAACTGAAGCAGAGCTGTAAGGAGCACTGCTTACTGGCTTTTACAACCAGCTTTTTGATATGGACCAGGTCACCTGCCTAAGATATACTGTCTGTGGTTGACGGGGCCCACCAGATCAATTATCAATCAAGAAAATGTCCCATAGGAATGACCACAAGTCAATCTGATGGAGATGATTCTTCAACTGAGGGGCCCTTTTTCTAAACGTATCAAGTTGACAACCAAGATTAGCCAGCACAGAAAAACGCATGTAAGAAGGGCAAGTAAGATGCCTCAGCAGGTATAGGCTTTTGCGGCCAAAACTGACTGGCAATCTGAGATCCATTCCTGGGACCCACATGATGGAAACCAGTAATAGAAACCAAGAGTATCAGGGCTCCTCCCTTCCCCCATGCAAATGTGTCTCCTACTTAAAACCTACCATGACTGCCCATTGCCTTTATCAGAGTCAAATCAATTCAACAAAGTATCTTTGCCCTTGTATGACCTTGAATATGTTCTCCTCCCCACCTACCACTATCCAGTCCTTTCTAGTCTGGCTCCTCACTACCTCGTCGGCATCCCACCATGTCAAGTGGTCCCTTGAATGCTGAGCTAGAGTTTTCCAACTGGTTTGCCAAAGCCCCAAGACCTTTGGGATGGCTGGAGGTAGACCCAATCAGCAAACCCAAGTTAGCAATGACAACAGAAATATGAAGGAGTGCAGTTCTTGTCCACAAGCTGATCTACAAAGCTGTCAGCCTCTCCTCCACCAAGGGACCTTCATTCGAGATATCTACACTACCCAGAATTCACTTCTGATCACTTTACCTGCTTAAAGACTGATACTCAACTCTTCACCAGTTCTACTAGGTCCTAGAACCAAGGAGGTGTCCTGTGACATCCCCTATTTGTTTAATGAATCCCGGCCCACAAAGTTCATGACATCTTTTGAAGCATCTGTGGACTTTCCAATCGTTCTCCATGATACCCATCTCCTCCTCTACACTGCCAGTGGAGCAGCTACTCAGCCTCCCTCACCCCTTAGTCTCCGGGGGTGAGAACAATGCTGGCATATAACAAGCCCTCAGCACATTCTTGTGGTTGAGTAATTCTTGGCTATTGCGAATCCCCAGAGTTAGATAAATAAAAATAACAATTATTATATACATGTGATCTTTTTTTAAAAAAAAAGTCAGTAAAATCCCTTTTTGTTTGAAAATAAAACACTGAAAACAAAAATTCAGTAATTCAGAAAAAATGACTCAGATCCCGATGGGATTGTTAATGACAGCTCATGGTGGTACTCAGATATAAATCCAGCACTCAAGAGGCTGAGGCCTGAGAATCAAGAGTTTGAGATCAGAGAGAAAGACAGAGACAGACAGACAGACATTCTGACGGACTTCCTGATCTTTCCTCTAATTAGGGTTCATGCTCTGTAGGGAAAGTAGGATTTTTTTTCCTTGGAAAACTCTCAGGACAACTGCATCAAAGGCAGACTTTAGATGGCCTTCGGTGCTGCCCTGACCCGCTGCTGTGGTCCCCACAAGCTTGCATCATAGCCTGATGCTCACCTATGAGGGGAGCTGTAGCTATGAAGATTCCTATCTGTCCTGCATCTTTCTGTGCTTTGATGTGAGATTGTACCGACAATGACAAAAGGAAGAGTTTTAAAAATATGCCAGGGTAACAAAAGAATTGTTTTTGTTGCAATTTTTTTGGAAATGTCTAGTTCTCTTCCTGGGTTTTTTTTTCCTCTGGTGACTCTACACAATCTACAGATGTAACGAAAGTGGAAGGAATCGCTTCTGTTAAGAAACATGAGAAAGCAAATGTATCAGCCCCGTGTAATTCCAATTTCTTGTTCTGTGCATCATGTGACATTTCTGATTATAAACCGATGGCCGGCGAGCCTTGGTATGGAAACTTTTGTAATGCAAGCGTGTTGTTCATAACCATGGGCTGGCTGGAAACTGTGAGCCTCTAACTGGAGAGGGAACTATTCGGTCTACTTTGTGTAAATCTTCAAAGCATAAATTAAAAGCAGAGGGTGTGCTTTATGGTTTCAAGATCTAAGGGCCTCGGCCACACTCTGTAAATCTGCCTGCGGTGTGGAGGGCAGCTTATCCGGTCGGCCAGCCTTATCAATTCTCTAGTGCTGTTCTACTCTGAGATGACTGGGGTAGAGAAAAATGTACCCTGCAATGAGAATTCCCATTTCTGAAATGCAGCTCGAACCCTGAGGCCAGACGGGGTGTGCTTTAGCGTCTGTTTTCGGTGCCCTCTGTGATACATCATGCTGAAAGTTTCCTCACTCAGAAAATATTTCAATCTTCCTGGTTTTGCAGGGCCTATATGAAAAAGGGCTCGGTACACACAGAAACGATCTCTCAGACAGCACTTGAAATGTATTTATTTTCTTTCCATATTGCCTGAATAATTTATGCGGTGTATTTTACTAGTTACCGAGAGGAGAAACTTAAAGTCCGTTTTTTATTCTGAGTTCAGAAAGCTTCTCTTCTTCCTTAAATATCAAGGCAGCACTCAGAATGTCTTTAGGAACAGGACAGTAAAATAAAAGATGCATAGTTAATATATAAACAGAAAGTTCCATACTCACCTGGTGAACTAAAATGGAAAGACACAAAAGCTCTAACAGGGGAACATTACCACTGACCTAAAAGGCATGAATTTTTCCTATTCTTCTGTACTAGCAGGGGAAACCAAGATGTGCATTTAGACATAGACAGCAGGAAGCAGTTTCAAAGTAGCTCATGTAATAGTGTCGATACGGAATAGGAAGGATTTACGCTGCCATTTCTTCCTCCCCAGCCCACACCCCAGTGAGTCTGAGGATATCCTTCCTGGATATGAGCATGTTCTCCAGGGTAAAAATTAAAAAAGCCTCCACACCATCCTCGTATCTATTATACAGCTAAAAACTTCCAGTTCTTGTCTTTTGAAGACAAACACGCAAGTGTTTATAGGTGAATTGAGACCCACACCCATATATGTGGTGTCTGGTTTGGGTCTGTTGGTTTTCTTGCTGTGCTGGGGATCAAAGCCATGGCCCTGCTAGGCAGGTATCCACTAGGTGATACCACTGTATGATATTATAAGTCCAATGATATTACAGCCCGTTTTGCTTTAAAATAATCTGGGGGCAGGGGAGGGGAGGAGGGAGAGAGTGGCGGCACCCTGGAGGAAGATCGGATACGCATTGATCAGTATACGAGAAAATTGATAGCTACATGGAACGATTGAATTTTTTTCCTCTCTGCTTTTGTGTATTTCACAAAGTTAAGAAAACAAAACAAAATGACTCTTTACCACCTAAAATCTGCTATAATTCCATGCATATGTGCACACAGGCGGTCCTAATTGAATTCGCTGGGTTAAAAATAATAGTCCGTCAATAAAAGGAGGATATGAAGTTGGAAGGGAAATGTGATGGGAGCTCAGGGTCGGGATGGAGAGGGGAGTGAGGGATAGAGATGCTCAAGACACATTGTATACATGGATGACATTTTTAAATAAGCAACAATTGAAATAAATAAAAATTCTAATAATATTTGTGGCTTGGCATGGTGGTACATACCTGGACATCATACCTGTACTCCTCTCGTGCAGAAGGCTGAAGCATCTCAAGATGAGGGATGACTGGGGCCACAAGATGACATCCTGTTCTCAAAAGAGCGGCAGAAAGGCCATGTAATTTGGACTAAATAATTTACCTTCCAACTTTACGTCAACCTCACAAGCCCCCAAGGTCACATTCTGATTTCATCCTGGAGTTTTTCTTCCCTTAACTCAAGCTATTTTCTCTCCACGAAATATTCTGCCTTGCCATTCTGGACTCTGGTGTGTGTCACTTTCTCAGTCCGAGCTCGCTATTCTGTACAATAACAACTTCGGGTTGAAGAACCTCCCAGACCCCTGCCAGCCCATAATTATTGGGGCCAACTTCGGCCACTTACTTCTAAAGACAAAGATCTACTTGCCAATAAAGTCTGTGAGTTGGAGAGCTTGACCACAGTCTGAGCAAAGACTGAGAAGTGCCTGCCATATCGCGTTGCTTGTGGAGTTCTGCGAAAATTAGGTCCCACCCTTTTTATATTTCACTCTTTGTGGCTTCTCGGAAACTTGCCATGTCAAAGGAAAGCTGATCTAAATAATCTGTAAGGCCCACTTAGCGACTTTTCCCCAGAGAAGTGTTCCCGGGGGAGGCTTAGAGACTGAGAATGGACGGGTGACTGGCGGAGTTTGGCTGAAGAGTGTTATGAGTCTAGGAAGCCCTGGAAGATAAATGACTAGATGCTCTTGGCTCTCTTTACCACCCCAGCACTATTCTCTGTTGTTTCAATTGACTTGCAGTAAATATTTTGGTTGCCTGGATTTCCATTATTAAATGTTAACTAAAGTTATTTGAAAAACACAGAAATCTTTTGGAAACCACTGCGTTGGACAAGAGTAGCTTTTTCTTCCTTTTAAAAAGAATTGCTCTTATTTTCTGATGCTAAAAGTCAGATACATTAAGAAACGCGATGGCAGTGATTCAGTCTGCACCCCTGTCCCCTCCTTGCCCACTCACCATGGGAACCCCAACAATAGGCATGCTACACTCTGTGAGCCCTTGATACTAAATATAGTTGTTTCAATCGGGGGGACGATTCTCACAGGGCTTTACAGCTTGTATAAAAATCAATTAGTCTTATGGTTAAAGTGAGATTAAACCCGAGGCTCTGTAGACTGACTTCATTAGAATTTTCTTGGTTGACAGCAACAGAAATGCAAACTCAATTGTGCTTGAACAAAATATAATAATTTGTTAAGTCATTAAGTTAGAAGTCCGGAGAATGATGTTTCCAACTGGCTGGGCACAAGACTCGGAGAACATACTCAGACCTGAAACTCTCTAGCTTCCCGTTGATTTTTGTCTAGACTATTTTTATTCTTGGTATCTCCCAGCAGCCTGCCCCTATATTGTTTCATTTTGGCAACCCTATATGGGAGTCAAATTTTTTTTTAAATTTCAGAAAACTCCTCAGGAAATATTTTCACTGTCCTAGTTTGGATTGAACCCATGTGTGATCTAATGACAAGAACCAGGGAACCACAAAGCTCCAATGGCCCAGTCCAAATCAAAATTCCACTCTTCCTTAGGTCAATGATGTCTGAGCTTATGTACTGAAAGAGAAGAAAGAATAGTTGTTTACAGGGAAACTACAGTGTAGTTCCCTCTCAGTAACAGGCCATGTAGTAGAAGGGGGATGTGGTAGCTAATTGGTTAGTAGTTGGCTACATATTTTTAGTTTCTTTTCTTTTTGCAGGGATTGAACCCAGGCCTTGTGCATGTGAGGCAAACATTCTACCACTAAGTTAAATCCCTATCTTAATACTTGTTAATGAATCTCCTATCTAAGGCTAGCCCTTGAATAGTTCTCCTTATAAAAGGAATATACGTAACAACGACAGTAGCAGGATGGACTCATGAGGACAGGGAGAGCCACAGATTGGCATTGTTGGAGAAGGTAGGACCACAAGAAGAGTGTTCCCATGGCTATGTCTTCTTCTCACTCCTTTTCCTCCATTCCATCTCTGTTATGATGCGAACTGCCTTGATCCAACACGTTTTCCTTCGACTCTGATAAGATGTGAGCCCAAATGAACCATTTCTCCTGCAAGGTATTTAGCTCAGGTATTTTCGTCACAGTGAAGAAAACAAATTAATACAGAAAATACATACAAGGCTCCTCTTTACTCTTTACAAATGTTCAAAACCATTGCCTGTCAGATCCCTTGGGTGAGCCTCACGCACCAGTAACCAGCCTGCTAGTCTGCTCTTCCTCCACAGCTGTTGATACAGCATGGCTTGTTCATTACTTTGTTCATTTTCTTGTCTTTGAAACGACGGAACTGTACAAACTTCAGTGTTTGCCAAAGGGAAGAACTCATGAGTTATCATTCTCTATCTAAATAAACAGATATAATAGAAATCTCATTTCAACAGCATAAAAGTGTTTTATTGTTGAATGTGATATCATTTAGGATAAGTACTCTGGGCTTCCCTGCTTATAAAAATTATCAGTTTGACTTGATCCAGCTGAAGTCTTACCTCCTTTATAAGCCCTTGCTTCAGTAATCTGCTTGTATTAATGGCTTCCATTTTCTTGCTCTCACAACCTTGGTTTTTCTCCAGAAATATCATGTCACTTATTGAGTCATTACTATGTACCCACTGTGTTAAATGTTTTTCATGAATTATCTTATTCATTGAACTCATCAAGTCAGATCATTAAAGAAACTAAGAAACTTGGTATCCAATGTCATATAACTGATAAATCAGTGGAGCTTTTAACCCAGTGTGACTCTTGAGCCCATGTCCTTGGCCATCTTGGTCTACAGCCACTTGTGCAGTTTGGATTATGCTTTCGTATGTAGGAAGAAGGCTTTTGTAGATGCAACCAAGGCATCAGTTGACTTTGAATTCATTACATAGTTGATGGATGGCTGAGCCAATATTATTGCATGATTCCTTTAAAAGTAAAGATGTGCCTAAGGTTGGTGGGAAAGGAAAAAATCAAAGATCTTCAAAGCTCAAAGGTTCAGCATACTCTTTCTGGCTTGAAGATGGAAGGGACCACATGCAAAGGCCTGAGAGCAGCTGTCAGCTTCTCTGAATGAAGTCGAACAACAGGCAGAGGAAGCTGAGCTCTGCCTGCATTCTGAGAGAGCTAAGAGTCAGAGTCTTCGCTAGAGACTAGGCCGGCCTGGACTCAGGCTTCCACGACCCTAATCGGAAAAGTCAGTCAAGCCTACCCGGACTTCTGACCAATTGAACTACAGAAGAATAATAATAATAATAAAAGAGTGTTGTCTTAGTTGTTACATTTGTAGCAATTTGTCATACAGCAATAGAAAACTGACATAAGTCTTTTGTTGTTGAAGCTAGGCTAACCCATGGGAAATGGCTAATGTCCACTGCTGTGGTCCATAAAAAGAATTACTTCTTCAGGTTACATTTAATATTTTCTGGGTGTGTTCAATCTAATATTGTTTGCCTAATAAATTCTCATAGACCTGACATCTTAGGAGGATGCTGGACATGTCTGTGGACTACCCAACCCATTGTCCTTTACTCCCAAGAATGTACACCAAAAGCTGCTGGCGGTTCGTCCACCATGCAGCAGAGAGCGTGTCCTTTACTCTTTATCCTGCTGTCCATTATGGTTTGAGTCTGTGTGCAAGGGCGAGCTGTTGTGTCTCAGATCAGGAGCATAGTTGTTTCCAGGACAGTACTTTTTTTACAGGAATAAGTAAACATTAAAATTTATAGTGTTAGTCTTGGGGTATATAAGGTTAATATTTAGTTGTACAAAATCTTATGTCGGATTTTGTTTTATTATAACCACTAGAGAGACAAGGTGTTGTTCAGTTTAAACTGTACATCAGGATTTTAAATTTTTTTGTCAAACTAAAAGAGCAGTAAAAACGTAAGGAAGAAGGAAGAGAGAGAGAGAGAGAGAGAGAGAGAGAGAGAGAGAGGGAGAAGTGAATGAGCAGTTGAGAAGTATCAAAAAGTTTTCATGCAAAGAGAACTGACTTAGTTGATGAGGTAGGAATTCAAGCCATCTGTTCAAAGCAAAGAAGAACCTGGACAAGGTGATGCACTGCGTCCACCCCACCACTTGGAAGTCAGAGCCTGGCAGCTTGCTGAATTCAAGGCCAGCCTGGGCTACTTAGCAAATCCCAGGCCAGCTGAGGTAATATAGTGAGACCCTGTTTCATAAAAAACCCAAACAACAACAACAACACAAAGGGTATCATTGACATAAACTCTTCGTTATGCAAGAACCCAGAAGTTGTGCTTGTATTTACTTGACAAACTTTTTTAAAAATTCTTGTTTGTTTTCATTTAACATTTACAATGAAGATCAGAAGCTACAAAAGATAAACTCAATACAAGTCGGTGCATATTTTGATCGCATGTATGCGGCTTTGAGGCAGTCAACCCAAACTGATTCTCCTGGTTGTCACGGAGGGAGTGACACTATCACATCAAGACTCTCTGTGAGTCTAACTGAAAGTCTAACAGAAAGAACAAATCACATGCTCTGACCACTGTCGCCTGAAAGGCTGTGCATGAAGGTCACTCCATCCATGCAGATAACCTGAAGCTGTAGTTGACTTATAAATTATAGTGACCACTGCACTATATCCCATCAACTTAACAGATACTCATGGTCATCTTTTCTTATTAATACTTGAGTCTATTCCTGGAGCAACTTATGTTCACAGATTTCCTTCAGTAAGTTTTAGAATCATCTTAATCCTTCTACTAACTAAAGTTCAACCATATATGGTACTGTTTAAAGAGCAGCTAACCAAGGAATACCAACACAATATTCAGAACACATGCAAAGATCTTTTAGAAATACATATAGAAAAGAGATGGTTGTCAACATTTTCTTTGTAATAACTTATTCCAAGTGTCTCCCTTCCTTTCTAACACATCTTAAAAGGTCTTTGTTTCTTTCTATAATAAGCAGATCCATGCTGCATAGTTTTAGTTTGTTCTACTAACCAGGAAGACAAAGGAATATTTTCAAATCTATTAAGGGATCCAGCTCCTCTTACAGAATATTGGATTTGGAAGCAACATAGAAGTCACCCAGCATAACCC